TTCGTTCGGAGCTCACACTTGCTCGTGTATGGCTTGTGCACTGTAGGAGGACCGCCTACAAGCAGCGGCAGTGAGAGAGGAACAGAGACACAAGGACAAAGCACGCTACGACGACGTGCATGAAGAAGAACGACAGCGGGTGGACGCTGAGTTCAGCGAGGTGCGCACGCCTCCTCCGCCGCACGAAGTGTTCACTGCACATGCGTGCATGGAGGACTAATCCACACCCCGAATCGCTGTGATCGCAACTCAGCTGGTGATGACTCTGGACGAGCGGTACACGGCCCAGTTCAAGTATGTGCCGAAGAGCCAAGACGAACGCGAGGAGCGCAAGAAGCAGATACGGAAGGAGGTGCTGTTGCAGCAGTTGGCCACTGTACAAAAGCGAAGGGCTGACAGAAAGGCAAGGAAGGAGAAGGAGAAGCTCGAGAAGGAGGAGGAGGAGAAGGCGAAGAAAGAGAAAGAGGAGAAGGAGAAGCTCGAAAAGGGGGAGAAGGAAAAACAGGAGAAGATAAGGCTTGAGAAAGAGAAGGAGGAGGAGGAGAAGGCGAAGAAAGAGAAGGAGGAGAAGGAGAAGCTCGAAAGGGAGGAGAAGGAGAGGCTTGAGAAGGAAGAGAAGGAAAAACTCGAACAGGAGAAGATAAGGCTTGAGAAAGAGAAGGAGAATCTCGAGAAGAAGGAGAAGGCAGAGAAGGAGAAGGAGGAGAAGGAAGCCGTCGCTGCAACGACAAGCGACGCGACCCAAGAAGAACAGCCACCGAGCAGCGACCAGAGCACAGACGATCAGTCCGCCCCGCTCGAGCACGGAGAAGAGGCCAAGCCAAACGAAAACGGGCACGCAGTAGAGGAAGAGACAACCACAACCACACCAGAGGAAGAGGACGACGAAACCATACCGGACGAGGTGAGCGAGTTGTTGCCAACGATTTGATCATCTCTCCAGAGTGCAGTATTTTTTTGGCTTTTCTTTTCCAGGAAATTGAGAATTAAAAGAAGTTTCTGCTGTTCTGTTGAAAATGAATCAACATTGTGTTTTACAAAGATTCGTCCGCGTGTAGCGCCACTCATCTCCACCCTCGCCCTCGTCTGGGATGCAAAAGAAGAAGGTGTACACGAGAAAGAACAGGGCCAAGCAGCAGGTAGAGGCTGCACAGCAACAATGCAATCCGAAATTGATAATCGGCAGCCCCAAATCGGCAGACATCTACGCGGTGCTGGACGCGGCCAAATCGAGTAAGAAGAAGGCAGACGAACCACGGCAGCGTAAGGCCACAGAGAAAGAGAAGCGATCTTTCGACGAATCCACACCTGTTGATGAGCCTGCACCAAGGCCCACTACCTCGAAGGGCACAAGCACTTCAACGACAGCATCGCCTTCTCGCACTTCCTTCGTCTTCCGTTCTGCGCGAGAGATCGAGGAAGCGCGGGTCGACGCGAAGTCTGAACGCATAAAGAAGGGCCGCGAGGAAGCACGCGAAGCTCGAAGCAGCCTTGCTGGGTCGCCAACAAAGTTCAGGATGGGCTCCACGCTGTACCACGCGCGACCGAGGCCGTTTACTCGCGACACGACCATCGGTGACTACTTCCCCTCGTACGACCGCTGGGCCACTTCGAACACCGGTGCGCACCACTACGACTTCGATAGACACAACGCCGAGTTGGAGGAGCTGGACCGAAGCGGACGCCGCGCGAGGTCAGCGAGCGGGGGCCTCGGGATCGTCAACAGATCGTGGGCCACGTCCCCCGTCACGTCTCCCGTCTTGTCGTCGCGTCCTGCCTTCAAGCGCGAAGGGTAGTACTACCCGTGTTGACACTTGCTCTTCGTTCGTTCTCGTGCGAGCGCGTCTACTTACTGTTCGCTTTCTACTTTGCGCGCAGCTTGCAGAACCTGGGCAATACGTGCTACATGAACGCGGTGCTTCAGTCGCTACTCTCCCTGGAGACGTTCGTGTCGGACATGAACAGAGATGAATTCATTCAGGCGCTGCCTTACACGTCGTTCTACCAGGCCCTCCTGCAGGTGAGTGAGTGAAACTGCCTCTTCCTAACGTTCACTTCTGACTGTGCTGTGTGTGTCGTGTGTCGTGTGGCAGATCGCTGTTGAAATGAGGCGCGAGAAGCACGGCATCATTAATCCGTGGCCAGTCAAAGACGCCGTTGCTCGGATGGCCAAGCAATTCTCGGACTGGATGCAACAGGTACTTGACCCCAAGGCCTGGTGTTCATTTTAATGAACTCTTCACGCCAGCAAGCAGGAGACTAATGCCAGCCGTGGTGTTGGTAGGATGCGCACGAGTTCTTGGTGAGCTGCCTGGATCAGTTGGAGGGCGAGATCGACAAGATCGGCCAGGATAGCCGCGAGAAGGCCAAAGCGGAGGTCGGCGCGAGCTCCTCGAGCTCAACGCTGGTCATTCTGTCGGAAGAGGAGAAGCAAGCCGAACGCGTAAGGAACGACAAGTGCCCGATCTTCCTCAACTTCGAGTCGGAGGTGGAGCACACCTTCACCTGTCGCAATCCAGCCTGCGAAAACGTAGCCCGAAAGCCAGAGATCTTTAGGGACTTCTCACTCGAGATCATCGAACCGCCGCCCGGAGCAAGGTATGCTTGCGCTTCCAGCGCCGCTTAGTGGTGTTGGCCGATCTGATGAGCTTGGTTGGCTTAATCACGTACGGTGTGTTATGGGCACGATCGTAGCGAGACAGACAAACGCAGTAACAAGCCATCGGTGCAAGACCTGGTCAAGTTTTGGTTTCAAGGCGACGAGGTTGTGGAAATGCGATGTGGCAAGTGTGAGGAGGCAGGAGAAGCAGATGTCGGACACAAGTACACTACATGACTCTTCGTGTCCGTTTGGTATCACCAACTTGGTTGCTGACACTCTTCGCCGCCCTTGCAGCTTTCTACGACTTCCGCGTGTGCTCATACTGCATCTCAAGCGCTTCAAGCCGCTACCGACGGACATCTTCACGATCCGCAAGCTCCAGGACATGGTCCGCCTCAACAAAACCATTGATCTCGGTACGACGAGGCTCACAACTCTTCTCCTTTCTTTTCTTCGCCTGATCACGTCGTGACTTCTACACCGGCTTCAGGGTTCTGTTGTGACCGACGCACGTTCGATCCGTTCGCGCCAGGGCCGCTCAACCTTCCATCTCACGACGCCGCGTTCAGTCCCACCTCTCGCTCTCCATCTTCCTCGCATTCGCCGTCGTCAGCCCCGTCTCCCTCTCCATCATCGCCCTTTTCGACCTCTGTGGCGTCGGTCAAGTCGGCGGAGTTCAAGGTGCCCGCACCGCATTCCAAGGTGGTCGTTCCTCCCACGTCGTCATTCCCCACCGGTGGTGCAAAAGGCGGGGAACGCATCGACGACGACCTGTCTACGATCATCGAAGGAAGTCTCGCCAACAACAAGCGACAGCGGACGCAGAGCAGTGATTCCACGAGCACCTCGACCAACGGCACCAAGCTGAGTGAGGAGGAGATGATGGCGCGAGCGCTGAAGGAGAGCGAAATGACCTTTGCAGCGGTGGAGCAGGCCAAGGAGGAAGAGCGGATCAGAAAGGAGCAGGAGGAGCTCGACATGGCCATCGCCCTGTCGTTGGAGGAGGGACAAGACGATGAACAGAGAGTCAGCATGAAGAGGAAGAGGAGCACCAACGCCACTGAGGTACCTCCTGAGATCATCGTATAAGATACACAGCAAGCTGGCTCACCTCGACCCCCTTCTTTTTCTAGCACCCATTGTCCAGCGAGCGCGTACCAACAGAGACGACCAGAGCCTCTCATGCTGCATCTCCGCTTCGTGTACGAATCACCCTCCTTGGTGAGCTGTGGGCTTAAACGTTCTGAAGGATCAACCTTCCCACAGGTATCTCGTATCTTTGATGATGACGCTGCGGACCAGCAGGAATGGCGCGAGCCTCGTGACAAGTGCAACGCTTTGTACCACCTGGCACGCACAGCCCGCTTTTCAAAGACAACAACTTCAACTGTTGGGTTGTCTGATGATCTTCTTGTTCGATGTGCAGAGAAGCATCGTGGTGCATTGGGGCGCCAAGGCCAGCATGGGTCACTACACCTCCTACGTACATAATCCCACGTCGGGCCAGTGGAAGGAGTACAACGACGACAGAGTCTACGAGGTACACGCGCACCCACTTTGTGCTGACGATGTTCGCAGGTCGCATCAAGTCAAGTACTGATCGCGTTGTAACGTTGTAACGTGCGGACATGTCAACAGTTGAAGGAATCGGCAGCCTTGGGCGAACAAGCGGAGAAGAACGGATATCTGCTCTTCTACGTCCATGACTCGGTACAACACCCAGCGCGGTCCCAGAAGGCGGCCACAAGCGAAGCTACGATGGGCGCAGGCGTCGCGAAGATCCGCAAAGGCAAGGAAAAGCAGGAAGCCGACGAAGAGGAAGAGAGGGAACGCGTGACGATGGACGTCATGACCAACAGCGTAGAGGAGAAGAAGGAGAAGAAAACGAAGAAGCCCTACAACTTCGACGACGCGATGGACGCGTGCAGCAACGCGGCGGAGGACAGCGATGACATCCTCAATCTCAGCTTCTTCGGCGATCTGGCCAACAGCAGCACCAACGGTGCGGCTTCGGCGGAACCTCATAAGCGCGACGAAGAGGAGCGCAAGACGACGCAAAGCCGAAGAGTAGATGAAGATGCGAGGGCGGCCACGCGAACGGTGACGGTGACGAAGCCCGCGAGGGAGGACGGGAGGACGAACGGCAATCGGGAGGCCAAGGAGGACAGTGCTGATGACGAAGATGAAGAGCTCAAGCGGGCCATCGCTCTGTCCCTCGCGGAAGCCACGGAGAAGGACGCGAAAGCGAAAGCGGAAGAGGAGGCAAAGAGGCGGAAGCGCGCCGACGAGCAGGAGCGTAAGGCGAGCGTTGCGGTTGGCGGCGGCGACGAAGAAGAGAGCGGGCTCGAGGACAAGAGAAAGCGGAGGAAGAGGCAAGCACCGTGAGATGCCCCCTGCCTTGAATCCTCCTGTACGAAATCCAGTGATTTATGTATTGTGTATTGATCTGCTCCTGGTCCTTAAAAATGAAACCAAGGGCCACACAATCCCGTT